GACAAGTTTGTACAGATTCTTGTGAATTGCTTGAATTGTGTTCTTTGTACACTTCAATAAAAAGAGAAAAAGCCTGTCTGCCAAATATATTTTAACTCTACTTTTGCTTTTGTATCCTCTTGGCTTGGTCTATGTCCCCTGTATACTGGATAGGATGATGGATGTCTCTATGATAGCTGCCACTTCTATTACGCACCAAGCTCTGTGAACCCATCATCCCCATCTTCGTCCGGCTCCACTGGCTCCGCATCTCTCAGAGGATTGAGTTCTGAAACCTCATCCTTGCCTTCAGAGCCCTCTATGGCCTTGCTCCTCCCTACCATTGTGACCTGCTAACTCCATGCAGACCTATCCGCTCTCTCCGCTCTGCAGGCTCTGGCTTACTTCATGTCCCCCACCCCAACATTGGCAATCGGTCCTTCAGCTTTTCTGCCCCCACCCTTTGGAACTCCATTCCAGCGTCCCCTTGGCTTGCTCCTCCCTTACCTCCTTTAAGGTCCGTCTCAAGACACGCCTCTTTGACCACGGCTTTGGATACCCTCCAACCTCTACCCTTCCTGCCCTCCACCCCTCCTGATCCCACCCCCAGCTCGGGTCCAAATCCTTCCCTTGGTATGTCCTCTGGACGTGAAAGACGCTATGCAAATGCAATTTGTTGTTGTTACAACAACAATTTATATTTATACAGCACCCTTCATGCTGGGTAGCATCCCAGAGAGCTTAACAGCTTAGAGCTTAAAGCTTAGAGAGTGGTGTTTGACCCCGAGCCAGGGGGAGAAAGCGGGGGGAGATGACTCTAAGCACAATCAAAAAGGAAGGTCTTTAGGAAGGATTTGAATGTGGTGAGGGAGGAGGCAAGGTGGTGGGATTGGGGGAGAAAGTTCCAGAGCTTCGGGGAGTAGTGACTGAAAGCACGGCCGCCTTTTGTTGTAGCACCGAAGTACATCAGAGTTGTGCGTGGACCCTTTACTCCAATGGATCTTCTTTCTCTCACATTTACAGGATGCCATGTTAGCAGCTGGCTGACACTGGCAACTCGACAGCTTTATAGTTCTTTTTAGTCAGCTGAGTGTCTAATACATGCAGAATCATATTGAAACCCTATGTTTTAAATTGTGTAACTTTGATTATGCATTATATATTAACTGTATTACTGAATTTCATATTTGTGTTACAATGCAAACTTTGAATAGGCAATGTAAAAATTCATACAAATTTTAAAATGATAAAGTACATGCAGCATTTGCAAGAATAATTATTAAATCCAGAGTAAATAATGAAAGTGAAAGAAATAACTAAGTGAATTAAAGAGTACATAATTAATAGCACTAACAATGATAATCCTTGCATTTGATATAGCGCTTTTCTGGACGTCTCAAAGTGCTTCACAGAATATACTGTAAAGTGAATTGACTGTATATTTGTGGGCGAAATTTGGCAGCCAATTGCGCACAGCAGTGTCCCACGAACGGTTGTGGATTGAAATGACCAATTTATTATTGCTTTGTTCTTGAGGGATTATTATCAGGCGTATGGAGTAAGGAAACTTGCCCAAGGTTTGGCTCTGCTAGGAATCGAACCTAGGTCTCTCGCTTGCGAGACAAGTGCTCTAACCACTGAGCTACAGAACTCCACAAATGAATAAAATAATGATAATCCCAATTGGGAATAATATATGCATCGAGTTAATTTTTATGTATTAAAATCCAAATACAATATATCAGCTCAGCATACAGAGGCCCCTAAAAAGAATGTTCAACAAAACCAAAACAGATTAATCTATAATTGTAAAACTAACAGAAGGACAAAATTAAGATATACTGAATGTATTGTAATTCAAAATTGCCATCAAGAATAAACAGAACAGATTTAGAATGGATTGTATGAAAATTGCACATTATCAAATTATTTTACTTAATATCTATTTCCTCTTAGAGACTATCAAACATCTTAGAGCGAACACTGTAATTCAGAAACTCAATATGAGTACAGATCTTATAAAATTACTGAAACACATAAGAAAATTTTATATTTTCTCTAAGCATAGGGATGAATCCGTTTCCCCATTTCCCCAGGACCGGCTAAACGAAAGGAGACCAGGGTCCATCAAATTCGCCTTTCACCATCCTGGCAATCTCATGCACATGTCATATCCCAAAGTATATACTGTATCCCCAGATATTGTTTCCTGATAGAAATCTATCTAATTTGTTCTTGAAAGAATCAACATTTTCTACTTCCACCATCTCCCTAGGGAGTCTGTTGCATACATTTACTACTCGCTCACTGAAGTAGTGTTTCTGCAGGTTTGTTTTGAATTTATCCCCCTTCAATCGCAGGCCGTGTGCAATCATAGTTGAAATAAACTTATACAGTTTTAATGTGTCATTTCACATTTTAGAAACCTATTTGTTGACTGAGAAAATGAAAGAGTTGATGTGCGGAGGAGGTGGTTTCAGGAGCAATGTGATACACGCCTGTGCAGTGTGAGTAGTGTGAATCACACTGTGCTCACTCCTCCGAGATCCATTCAAATCTTGCAGATTGTTCAGGGAAAAACCTGGATACTTTCAACAGAGCAATAACAATAATAATCCTTGCTTTGGTATAGCACTTTTCACGTCTTCTAGACATGTCAAAGTGCTTCACAGAATATGCTGTAAAGCAAGTTCACTATTTTTGTGGGTGAATCGCGGTAGCTAATTGCGCACAGCAGTGTCCCACAAACAGTCGTGGATTGAGTGACCAAATTTTTTTTTTTTTTGAGGGATTATTATCCCCAGAGAAGCGATCTGCCAATTGACTAACAACTAGGTTCCTACTTACTGCTAGGTAAACAGAGACATGTGGAATAAGGAAACTTGCTCAACATTTTGTCCTGCTGGGAATAGAACCCAGATCTCTCGCTTGTGAGGCGAGTGCTCTAACCACTGAGCTACAGGACTCTACAAGTGATGAGGCTATGATACAAATATCTCCTCAAAGTTAATGGAGCAGACCATTTTATAGAAATTAACACAATTACTGTATTACGTATCTCATGATGTGGCAAAAATGATCAGATAAAGAAACTGCATGATTTTTGATCATGAAACAATTAGCTTGTTTCATTTCTTGGTGGCCAGTTCCTATGCCCCTAAACCTCTGGAACACCTCCCCCGACCACTTCATCTTGCCCCTTCTCTTTCTGTCTATAAATCCCACCTCAAATCCTATCTCTTTGAACATGTCTATGTTTACCTCCCTCCTCTTCCCCCTCTCCCTGTGAAGCGTTCAGAGACATTACAGTAGGAGGTGAAGAGTGCTATATAAATACAAGTCTTGTTGTTAAAAAGTAAATGTTTGATTTTGGCATTCTGTACACGCACCAAGGCACATGAATGCAAACTCCAAAACTGGGTGTTTATTCCAGCTCCACTAAATGCGATGAGGAGTGGACAGAAAAAAATAGCTTCTCGCTCCACATCGCTATACTGCTGGAAGCCATGTAGTTTCAATAAAATCATTTCAATAAACATAGCTTTTGTGATGGGTTTAGAATGCATGTGCCAGAACAGACTTCACACTTGTCTGAATTTTTCTTTGTGCTATATTCTATTATTCCACTCCACAAAACAAAATCAAGCTGGTTAATTTGGACAATTGCACAGACATCTCATGTAACAAACAGAATGAATTTGCTCTCAGGAGCTGAAGATGCAATAAGTAAACCCAATAGAATTCCTGTCAACCCTGGACATTTTTTTTTCTAGAGCAGTGTTTCAGTAGGTTGGAGGGTTTTACCTCAAGTTACTAGAACATTAGGTGAATACAAACAAGTGTTCTCAGTGTCCCCAGGCTTAGGAAAGGGAAAATCAGCAGGGATTTTTACTCTTAATAGTCATACTTTGATCTCCATTGAAAATACACTGTGTGAATGTTAGGTAAGGACAAAAATTGTATTGTCCTTCCCATCCCAGTCATATTAATCTTTCAAAAAGAAATGTATTACTATCTGCTTGAGAACAGTATGGGATCTTAAATGGAAGGACAGCCTGAGGAGAACAAACACTTGTGTACAAATGGAGTGCAAATGGTCCCACATCGCATCATGTTGAAGTAAAGGGCATTATAGCAGCACTGTACTCTAGCAGTTTCATGACCCAGTGCTTTAACAAGTTTATTTTGGACCAAGATGTCCCAGTGAATCCTTAGTCATGGTGCGCCATGAGTGTAAAAAGGGCCTGAAATACTAACTGCCTGGCCCAGCCAATATTGATAGAGAAAAAATAATAGGGATTTTAATGCTGATTTAAGTAATCACCTTTATTAAATTATTTGATACTTTAATTTGATTACTCCAGATAATAATAATAATCCTTGCGTTTGATATAGCCTTATCACGTCACCAAGACACCTCAAAGCACTTAACAGAATATACTGTTAAGTGAATTGACTGTATGTTTTGTGGGCAAAACGCGGCAGCCAATTGTATACAGCAGTGTTCCACAACCACTCGTGAATTGTGTGTGTGTGTGTGTGTGTGAGTGCGTGCGTGCGTGCGTGCCCCCATTCGCCATCGACTAACAACCGCTTTCCTACTTACTTCAAGGTAAACAGAGGCCTGTGGAGTAAGGAAACCTGCCTAAGGTTTCGCCCTGCCTGGGAATCGAACCCAGATCCTCTCGCTTGTGAGACAAGCACTCTAACCAATAGGCTGCATGACTCCACATAAGCAGTAATGTTTATAAGTAAATTTAAGTTCATGCTTCTGACAATTAAACATAAGATGTTTAGTTTAATGTATAAGTAATGCTTGAGTACTCAAATTATTTTTGCAATCTGAGAAAATTAAAACAATTCAAATATGTGAACCTTGTTGAAGTGGTAGCACAGAAGTTAAATACCTCATTGGTTTCTTTTCTGTTCCACAATGCTTGTATTATGTTGCTTTCTTCTAAAATTGCATTAAATATAAAAAGCAGAGTAATGTTGTGCAACAAAGTCGATTTTAAACTTGCCTGTGGTAAAATGCGGCTCCTGTTAGAACCATGGAGTACTCATTTGTCCACTTTGATGTGTAGCCCCATCGTCCTTTGCTGTTGTCCCAGTAATGGCTGCGGGCTGGGTAACCAACTATGCGATCTGGGAAGCTGTGCCATACAATGAAGGCAAAATCAACCTAAGAAAGAGACAACAGTACCATAGGTCATCAAACTGATAACTAGCTTATCTACTGTATTAGAAGGTTCATAAAGTTTGGGAGCAGAATTTCTGTTCTCGATTGGTGATCAGTAATAACAGAGATCTTGCTGTACTCCTCATCTATATGCTCCCTCTCGGTGATGTCATCCGCAGACACGGGTTTAACTTCCACATGTATGCGGATGACACTCAACTTTTCCACCTCCAGCTTCGACCCCCAGTCCCCTGAAGTTCTGTCAGCTGTCAGTTATCAAGAGCTGGATGAGCGCAAATTTCCTGCAATTAAACGTCAACAAGACGGAAGCCATACTCATTGGCTCCTGTCGACATCTTCTGTCCTACAGTTCCAATCTCCTCAACCTACCCGACCTGTCCTTAAAACTCTCCGAACCCATGCGCACTTCGACCAGGCCTACGGTCACTTTCTCCCTCCCCCTGGCTCAGCTTCGGGCTCCACCATTGTTAAGCACTCTGAGACACCGCCCGGCATGGAAGGCGCTATATAAATGCAAGTTGTTGTTATTATTGTTATACTTAAACAGGGTTGAATTTGCACCCAATGACATGTATCGGAACTGGAACTGTGTCTGATAGGGAAGGAGGGAATGAAAAATTGAACAATGGAAAACAGTAGTAGACATCAGAGGCAGGAGGGAATGTACCAATTAAACATTTTTCTGGGGGTTTGTGCAGAAATGCTTGATTTCCAAATTTCCCCTCATCTTGGGCTTGAGGTCAGCTATGTGAAGCTCTGAGATGCTCTGAGATGTCCACCTGATGTGAAAGGGTCTATATCAAATGTAATTTTACTAATAATGACTGACATTATTTTCCAATAACTTTGGATTTGGAAAGTCAGTTCACTCATTTTTGGCCCTTGCTACTTTATGCCTCATTTTTAACTGCTGGACAGAACATAAGTTGAGATCAAAACACGAGAAATTATGGGAATTAAAGAAAACAGTATTTTGCTGAACAAGCTCATTCTCTCAACACAAATACAGATGCTATCCAGCCTACTCAGTCTGTTAAACAAAATGATAAGTCACAAGTAAAAACTCCCAAAGGAAAAGTTTACGACAGTTCTCTCAACCCATGAAAACAATCAAACAAAAATTCAGGCCATTAATCCAGCCTCACAACCCACAATGTTTAACTTGCATTCATGATCACACCAGCCCAGTAGCCATCATGTTCCATCGAGCATTTAATCATCTGCTCCTTATATCTTTCGATCCTATTCTTAAAGAGACATTCACCCAACTGATTCAAGTGCTATGATTGAGAGTGTAGTCCTTGTATCATAAGAAAGAGCATTAGAAAGATAATTTTTCTATTTGTTAGCAGGGAAACACACGAGGAAACCCATCACAATACTTAAGAGTATCCAAATATAATAATAATCTTTGCATTTGGTTTAGCGGCTTTCATGTCTGGAGGATGTCTCAATGTGCTTCACAAAATTTACTGTAAAGCCTAGCGACTTTGCATTTTATAGACAATGAGGCAGACAATTTACATGACTCTGCAATGTCCCACAAACAGCCATAAATTGAATAGCCAATTTTATTTTGGGGGGATTGTTTGCCAGGATACCAGGGGAAATTCCTTACTATTTCAAATTGTGTCATGGGGTCTTTAACATGCATCTGAACAAGCAGATGGACCTCTGTTTAACATCTCAGCAGAAGGACAGCATCTCCTCAGCATGGGCTTGGAGTGTCAACCTAGAGTCTAGACTATATGAATTTGAAGTCCCAGTACACAGCTTGAGCCCACAACTCATTCAGAGGTGAGAGTGCTACCAAATGAATCAGACCCCTGAAATCCATTAAACCCACACCTTCCACTGAACATATGCTAATCTAGGACTCTACCCCATTTAGCTAATCTCCTGAGGTGAAATTTTTCAAATTTTCTCTCTGAAGTGATAAATAACCAAGCGATATTGAGATCATCCATCTATACTGCACATTTCACTCCTGACAGGTTCCTTTTTAATGAAGACGTTTTCTTGGCTCCAGTAACACATAGACCATTATGCTTTATGGACCATTTGGTTATTTCTGTCTATAATTACCACTGTAACTCTTCGTCCCATTCCAAGCCAGAATCATGCGATTTGGAAGGATTATCCTTCCCCTAAGAACATAAAACAGCATGGAATTAAGGATAGACTATTCAACCCATCAAAGCTGTTCCTTAGACCTTATATAATTTAGATTACTGTGGACACTCATCCTCTGAAACCCTCTTCAACTTTGCTAACTTTCCGCCCAACTTCATAAACCTCGATAAACATATCTGTAAAGTTGTACCTTTGGTTAACATAGCTTTGACACATTTTGTATTTGTTGTGAAGGATGCTATATAAATGCAACATGTTGTTGCCAACACATAAGATCCCATTAAATCTCCAGAGGAAAATCACTACATATAAATACTTTGTGAAACCTTTGATTGAACAGTAAACAAAAATATATGAAATAGTATTCATAATTAATGAAGACTTGACAGCTCTTGGAGAGTGTTAAATCACACGATTCAAGCAGAAAACAGGAGTGGAGTTCTGGTTGTTGAGCCAAGGAGAAAATCTGATTAACACCATAAATATGAAATACACCCCCGGCGCCTTTTTCAATGATCGTGCTTGAGAAGCTGGCAGGGTTACGCATTGGCGGAGGTCTACCTCAAGTACATGGGGGGGGTCGGTCAACAGGTTAATTATTATAAGGTCTGTTTTCAATGCAAGTGTTAACTAGCACCATCAGGTTTTTTAGCCACTATTAGCACATCACACAGGGAAATTTCCATGTTGGGGTGACATGTATGTGTGGAATTCTAAGTCAAGTTTGGATACCCTTAAGCATGGTGATGGGTTTCCACATATATCAAGCACATGGCTGATGAAAAGCAAAACACATCCTCGTGTTTTAGATCTGTTATGCATCTAGATGCCATCTACTTGGCGGACCAAAAAAAGTCCCAGCATAACCATACACCAGCTGAAAGTAAATCCATTCTTTCCGGCGAAGAAAGGATGGGAGAAATATTGGTAGTAAAAATAAATGACCGAGTACATTAGATTGATCAATAGTTTATCTTTGCAAGAGCTATCCAACTAGTCCCACTCCCTCGCTTTTACGCCCTAGCCCATTAAAATGCTTACAAAAGTATATCAAGTACCATGAACAACAAAGAGATCTACTACAGATGAGCTTTTCAAAGTTGTCTGGACTCTTTAAACACACAGTTTACATTATTATAATGGAACAAAGCTATTCAAGAACCTTGGTATTTCCTTTCCTTTCCTCCCACTTGGCCTAAATACTGTTATTGTAAACTTCTGCAGGAGCAAGTGGTGAACATGATGAAAGTGTTCTTCAATTTCACCAAACACTTTAACATATTTGTTAGCCACTGTTACGTAACATGGTCAAGTCACAAAACTCCAACTGAGCTGAATACTGTGCTTTATTACCACATTTATTTCTCAATGTTAGATGTTTTTGGCACAGTTAGTACACCCATTTGATGCTTTACTGCAGCCTCATAAGTGATGTAAAATAACATAAAAGGTTTGCCTTAGAGAGACATGTTCCTTGAGAGCAAAACTAACTTTAAATCCTATTGTGACCATGAGGAGATGTTTTTCCCAGGAAATTGATTCGTACCAATTCAGTATAGGTGCAGATGATGCAAAATGATTCAGTCTCTGCTCAAAAATCCACCCCACCACCACCTTTTGAAGTTATCGGGCAGTGTGCCAAAATGTTTAAGAGCCCATTTAATGTTAATAAAGAGATGATTATGCAACCATCTTCAAATATTAGTTTTTTACAATGTGGTGTTTGGCAATGGTTAGTACAGCTCTGTGCCTATGCAGCTTTTGTCTGGTAAATGCAAATTTGGAAAAATATGAATAATAAATCAATTCTGAATTGCTTTACTACTGAAAGCCATTCCAAATCATTTCCAAAAAGTTTAAATGGGCAGGGACATAGGAACATAAAAACTGGAGGAGACCATTCAGCCCTTCGAGCCTGTTCCGCCATTTAATTAGATCATGGCTAATCTGTATCTCAACTAATCCTTTAAATTCCAATTTCTCGCTTTCTCCCCATATCCATTTATACCCTGACCTACCAAAAATCTATCAATCTCACTCTTGAACGGACCATTTGACATCTTTATTCCCAGAAGTTTCACAGTGGCAATGTTCTTGATCCAAGTCTAAGGGATAAAATTTCACTGGTTGTCTAAGTTACGAACTTTAACATTAGGCATTGTGGGAAAATCCCATTAGAATAATGCAGGAAGAGGTCAATAATTTTAATAACAATAAAAATGTGCAAGAGTTTAAGGGATACCATTCTAATTGCCCCCAGATAAGACACTGCTCACATCCTAGAAACAGTGCTGAGGACAGCAACAAGGATAAATCCCGATGTTGGAGGGTTAAGCTATTAGGAAAGATTAGACAAGTTAGGGTTCTTTATCCTTGAACATAGATACCTCTGATATAACTTTATATAAGTATATAAAATTCTAATTGGGATTAAGAAATTAAATCCAGAAAAATACTTTCACATATACCAAAACAGTGGAATAAGCCAATGGAATAGAAGAGGAACATCTTTACACTGAGGTGTGTGAGAATGGCGAATTCATGGCTGGAAGCTCTGATTGAAGCAAAAAGCATCAATGTATTGAAGAGAAAACTTGATGCATTTATGAAAGAGAAGGGAATAGAAGAGCCCTGGGGTGGGACGAGGAGGGCTGGAGGCTTATATGAAGTATAAACATCGGCATAGATTAGTTGGGCTGAATGGCCTGTTTCAGTTCTATAACGTTCTATGAAACTCTGTTCCCTAACCTTCAGTGTTTCTTTTTACCAGTTGATTACTGTGTATTTTTTCTCCAATCAATTGGTGAATTATCAAGAGCTCAAAGATTCTGATCTCTTCTGTCTCTCTGGTCTTACTCCTGAGGATCAAAATACTTCACCGAAAAATGCTGAGCGAGTCCTTCCAGACCGACATGCTTGAGTTTGTAATTGATGAATGTTTAATGTTTTGCAGGATTGGTGATCACAGTGAAATGGAAAGAAAGGACTGAGAAGATTCACATGGGAAATCATTTTTATGTGACTGAGCTCGGGAGCAGGGTATTCCCATTTATAAACAACCACAAGGGAACATGGATAAATAAGCTTCTCACTAAGAGGTTGTTTATTGCATTATGTATTTGTTGATTTGTTGGCTTGGATGCAGGTTCCCACAAAGCCCTTCCAAAATAATGGAGCTGATTGCTTCAAGGCGGGAGAAGCTACCCAAACTGTATGCTTTCCAATTTCATGTAATAAAATGTCCACATATTTCCAATAGACTCAGTCCACAGAATGAGCAATAATTTCAAAACATTTGCAAACAACCATTTCTGAAAACCGAGTTAAAGACCCAGTTTGGGCCTTCTGTCCTTTCAGAAAATCGATGACTTTCAAAACCACCCTCTTCATGAGCTGAATGCCTGCAGTGACCTAGGCTGTCATCTGTGTGTGTGTGTGTGTGTGTTTAGGGAGTTCAGCTTAACCAAATAGATCTGCTCATGACAAAATACCGTAATAACTAATAAGATCAAAAGGATTGTCATGGGAAATGTCAGCCAATACTATATAGTGTTCAATTTAAAAGCGTAATGTCTCTGAAAAAAAGTTGAAGGTATTTAAATTGAAAACGAAAGCCTATTTGCAGTAAGTACTTCATATCCATTCAAACAATGGCATTTGTTGAAATATTATGCCTTTAAAGCTGTAATGTAAAACCTAAATAATAGATTTAAATTACTGATTCAGTAGACTACTTAAGGAAAATAAAATTCCTTTGAATTCTCATTTATAGAAGAATAGGTTTAATAATACAATACCGAAAACATTTTGCACATGCATCTATCGCTGTTTCCAAAGAGCAAGATCCCATCAATCACAATGACTTTAATGTGTAATTATATCATTGAGATGATTATTTGGGAATCAACTGGTGACCATCAAAATGCCACCAAAGCAACTAGATTTATGAATGCATTTCTGCACTCCTACTTTTAACTTCTGAGTTTTAATATTCATGTCTCCATTCACATATCAGAGATTGTCCTGGTATTATCCTGTTTATTTTAACATGTGTGTGTGGAGAGATATTTACTACTGAGACACAGATCATAAGAAAAATAACTTCTTGTGTAGAGGCAACCTGGATGTCTTGTGATATTATTACAACATCCTAAATGGTTGTTACGATAACTTCACATACTATTTACGTTCAGACACACTAATACTAAAACTGGTACATTAAATTTGAATTTTGTCTAATTTATCTCGTGAGATGGTTTTCCAATTTGTGGCCTCAGTAGACGCAGTAGGCTACATTTTCAAAGGTTCTCAGTGTCTACTCCTTAAGAATTGCATTTAGTACTACTAAATGGCTACCGGCTAATAATGTTTTACTTTTATATCAAGTAATTTGGCAATCCCAAAGCATTTTTTTAAGCATTGACGTTTCAAGATCTCTTTGGCATCTTATCCATCAGGGTAAAGCAATTAGTCAATTGTTTCTCTCAGATTCAGGAACGCTTACCTTCTTACTGAGATTGGCACACTTCCCATTAATGCTTTAAATAGAGAAAAATCTATAATGTCTCTATTATGATTTTTGTAAAAATCTGTGTGGTCTCCCTGAGTGAGAGTGGCAATTCAGTGCCAATTGGTGCAGTAGAATGGACAGTTTTGCCTTTAGGAACTGAAATGAGCCTGCCTGAACATATTTCACACAACACTTACAGACATTAGCAAGAGAAGACACTTTCAACACATCAGTCTGAGCTGGATACAAACCAAGGCTTAAACACAATGTTCCTTCTGTGCTATTCTATTCCGCTTCTTTATTTCTGCATTGACATGTAAGCACTACAGTAATCCTTTGAAACAGAGGATATAATGGGATTTTCCCGTTAAAAGCTCAACTGCCAAGGTTGGTTAATTTACTAAGCAGCAGAGAATCAAATGCTATCATTTCCTAGGTCAGTAAATTTACCAATGATTAGAGAACCACATGAATACAAACCCAACAGTTTGCAATTCATGTTTACCATAGCATTATGTAAATGGTGGTAATGCCATGTTGGGGAGATTTAGGAGTATCTCAGGTCACGGAACAAGCTCTTTGACAAAAGCGTACACTACGTTACTCATCTGACAATTTTCCTGTGCCATATATATGCTACAAATTATTACAAAATGATTTTCTTTTAGTTGTAAACTTTATATAATGTAACTCTTGCATTCGATTCAGTATTTTATCACTCTGAAATGTCTCAAAGCGTTCACAGATTTTTTTCTGCAAAGTGTAGTGGCTGTGTATTTGTAGGCAAACATGGCAGCCAATTAATTTGCACACACTATTGTCAGATGCACAGCCATGAAATTAATTAGCTTTTTTTTTCTCTGGGAATTGTTGACCAAGACACAGGGACAAACTCCCTTTTCTCTTCAATTAGTGCCATGTCCACCTGAACAGGCCGATGAGACCTTGGATTAACGTCTTAACTGAATAACGGCACCTCTCATAATGCAACTCAGGACTTCATTAAAGCCAAGAATAAGAGTACAAAGTGCTGACATGAGGCTTGAACCCACAAGCTTCTGATTCAGAGATGAGAGTACAATCAGTCCAACACCTAACACATTTGTACTAATATACTCAAAGAACAATGTAATGCCGATCATGTCATTGCAGTATTCACATTGCAATTAAGTGAAAAATTGACTTGCACGACATTTTAGCATGGGAACCATTCCCCTTTAAGACAAATTATACTTTCAGACATGTTTCAAATCCATTCTCTCCCCCTCAAATCAATACAATCTGACTGCATGAGATCTATGCTGTACTGCACATTTGAGCATATGAAGATGATAAATAGCATTCTGAAAGATCTGGACCAATTAAGCAGATGGGAGAAATAGTGACAGATGGATTTTAATGTCGATAAATCTAAAGTAATGGATATTGGAATAAGAAACAGAAAACTTGTTTACAAAGAGAAGTGTGTCCAACAGCAGAGGAGGTGACCAGAAGGATTTGGATGTGATTATTTGATCATTCATTAAAGACTTCCAGTCAGTGGAAGTCTGGTGCTACAGGGCAAACACTAGACTGTATCTTGAAAGCACGTGACTCCAAGTCAAAAGACATTAATAAATAAATAATCATACTGACATTTGATGTAGTTTTGTCAAACTATTTCAAAGTGCTTCAAAGGATTTTACTGCAAATGTGGTGACTATATGTGGGGAGAACAAGTCATTAAGTAAATTACTAACTTTATCCAAGGGATTGGTCAGGACACCGGAAAAATTCCCTTCTCTTTTCAAACAGTGCCTTGGGATCTTTAATGTTAGACAGGCAGAACAGAGCCTCAGTTTAACATGTCATCCGAAGCATCTCTAACATTGCTGCATTCGCCTATCACTGCATTGGAGTATGAGCTCAGTCTCAACATGGCTTGACCCCGCAATCTTCTGACCCTGAAGCGAGAGTGCTGCTGACTGAGCCAGGCTGATACCAGATCTAGCTTTGAACTGATTCCTGATCTGGCCAAATCTAGAATATTCAACAAATCACTGTACTTTCAACAAGAAACATTTCAGAAGGGTCAATGAGAGAGAGAGAGTGAGCGAGTGAGAGAGAGAGAGAAAGTCCAGAGAAGAGCAATGAGGACGATTCTACAACTTTGAACTCTGAATTATACAGTGGAGCTCAAAGCATCTAAAATATTGCCTTTAGTAAAAAGAGCTTTTAAAAAGATTCAAGATTAAGATAAAATTCTGCACAATCTTTAATATTAAGACAATGATTTTCAGGCTATGACTATGAGGAATTTGGAGCCGCAGGTAGTGGCTAAGCACAAATAATTCACGGAAGAGGACTGATTTTTCTGTTGTTGAAACACGATTTGCAGCTATCACCTTGGAGAGGTGACATTGTGTCGATTGTCAATCTCACTAGATACAACTTACAATTCAAATTCAGACTCAAGATAATCCAGTCCCCTTTCTGAGGTGGTGGTCTGAAGCCTCTTTCTGACGTGAGGTCCTCTTCTCCTGTGGTTCCACTTGCTTTAGCCACAATGTGCATCTTGCTCAGTGACTCACCTCATTGGTTGACAACACAGTGTCTTCATCTAAACTTAGTACAGCATCTGTCTGGATGGCATCATATGGAAAGAAACGGCTGCTCATTGTCTGCAACAGAAGCAAGAAAACAAAGCTTTAAGAATCACAGCCTTTTGCATTATAACATCATGAATCCTTTGACAAATATGAACCCATAACTTACTGAAACAAACCTAGTTGTAAACCGTGCATCTAATCCTGCAGTTAAGTTTTCTACTGATAGGTTTTTAATTTCTTCCCATAGGTATCATTTTGTTTCATATAATATTCTATGAACAAGATACATGAAAAATGAAATCTATGCCTTGGTTCATAATTACCTTGAAAAATTCTTTTTAAAAGTTAAACAACCACAGGTAACTTGAAAGGCCAGTTCAGAGCACAGAGACGATTTGCCTGTAACCTTTATCCCAGTGATAAGATAATGAAGATCATAATTCATTTATTTTCCAACCCACACTATACGTACAGCTAACTCCAGAGCATATGTATGAAGAAGTTATGCAGAGGAATATAGGTCGGGGTTTTGACCCCATTATTTTTGGACCAGCCTGTCTCCAGTTTTAACAAGGTTGTTTAAAATGTAAACAGCACATCAAAAATCTTCTTTTTAAAATAAGTCTGGTTTTTCATTTAGTTTTGAGGAATGATGGCATTTTCGGTCCCAGCAACATCTTAATAATAACAAAAAATTATTTGGTCACTCAATCCACAACTGTTTGTGGGACACTGCCATGCGCAATTGGCTGTTGTGTTTCGCCCACAAAATGTACAGTCAATTCACTTTACAGTATATTCAGTGAAGCGTTTTGAGACGTGATAAGGCGATATATCAAATGCAAGGATTATTATTATTAGTAGTAGTATTATTATCTTCAAAGCATACCAACTGGGAGAATTAAGGCCCATCACACACCAATTCAATATAAATATGTAATGAACAGACAGTTAGTGTTAAGATATCAATGTGTGATTGACACCAATGAGATTCATGTGGCTCTACCAACATCTGAGGGCAGTGCCACTAGCGATCAGCATCTGTGGTTTTGACGATTATGACCTTTACCATACTGTAAATGCTATCCTTTTGAAGAATGGCAGCACACAGGAGGCTGAAGCTGGGGAGTCTGCTAAGTCTATTGTATAAAAATAATCCTTAGTTTTGATATGTGCCTTTCACATCGGAAGAACGACTCAAATTGCTTCACAGGACGCACTGTACAGTAGAGTGGCAGTGCATTTTGTAGGTGAACATGGCAACCAATTTTGTAGGTGAACATGGCAACCAATTTGCGCAGAGCAATGTCCCACAAACAACCACTAAGTTTATTTGGAGGATAGTTGGCCAGGACACCAGGAGGAACTCTCTGCTTGGAATTGGCAAACGTTGGACACCTCTGACTTTTCAAAGGACATTCAAAATCACTTTTGTAAAACTCTTTCCAGGAGGATGAACTGTGTTTGAGAAGATAGGCTGATTTTTAACAAATCTGAACTGCTGTATAGCCTAGCTTCAAGAAGCCCTGCCGTCCATAATAATCCTGATGGGATTTGGGGAGCGATCAATTGCTTGGATGTTTGCACTGTGTTTGCTCATAAGAATGTGCCTAATGTTTCTCAGTTGAAGGTAAAAAAAAAGTCTGCTTATTAATGCAGTGGATATGATTCATTTCATTTAATTCCCAACTTTTGAAAATGTTTCACAGAATTTCAATCCAGTGGCAATTCAGAAAAATTAGTTGTTTATGCAGCTTTGACACTGATTAGAAAAACAAACTATCCTCAGTGAATAAAATAATGAATATATTCATTTAATACATCTAATCTCATGGAGAATCAATGGCATGTAAGGACAAGAAAGCTTTGATTATGCTATTAAATTCAAAGGTGAAACAGATCTAATGGTTAAATGTATCAAACCCCAATTCATTCAAAGAAGTCAATGTCACATCATTGTGATATCACAGAGTAACAAGGGCTCGCCTCTGTGCATGAGCTGTCACTTCCCTAATACTGAATGGTAGATGTCAGAAGAAAGCAGAAATACAGAGAAATGCTGAAAATGTACAGTCGGCTGATCAGCATCTGAATGAGAAAGACAAGTCAACATTTTGGTTACGACCCTCCATCAGCTGATCCACCTGCACATACTTCAAGGATTTGCAGATTTTTTTCACTTTTGTTTTCAACAACAATTACATTTGTATAGCGACTTTCACGTCGGGAGGACGTCCCAAAGCGCTGGACAGTCAAGGAGTGCACTCGAGCTGGGAGTTGGGATCATAATAATATAATAATCCTTGCATTTGATACAGGGCTTTTCATGTCTTCTAGACGTCTCAAAGGATTTCACAGAATATGCTGTAAAGTGAATTGACCGTATATTTGTGGGCGAAACGCGGCAGCCAATTGCGCGTAGCAGTGTCCCACAAACAGTCGTGGATTGAAAATGACCAATTTTTTATTGTTTTGTTTTTTGGAGAGATTATTATTAGGCATGTGGAGTAAGGAAGCTTGCCCAAGGTTTCACCCTGCCTGGAATCGAACCCAGGTGTCTCACTCGCACAAGGCGAGTGCTCTAACCACTAAGCTACAGGATTAGGAGTAGTGGAGGGCAGGGATGGTGGGGGTAGGTGGGTGACTGAAAACATAGACTCTAAATTTTATTTGTTTCAAGACATTGTGTTACTATGAACTATGGTACAGGCTCGATAGGTTGAATGGTTTCCTCCCCATTCCTGTTTTTCTACCTTTCATATGAGCTAGCCCATCAACATTCAATAGTTAATAGGGAAAGTTATAAATCTGAGGTGCTGTATGAAAATTGCATAGACTACACAGCACTGAAACAGGCCATTCAGCTGTTGGGACTTTGAACTCATACAATCTGTTCCATTACTATATGCTGAGATGAGCTGGATTGTTGGATTTTGGATAAGATGTTAAACCGAGGCTCCATTTACTTTTTCAGGTGGATATTAAAGATCATATGGCACTTTTCAAAAAGAGAAGGAAGCTTCTACTGGTGTTCTGGCCAACCACCACCCAAATAAAACTGGTCACTCGCTCCATGGCTGTTTGTGGGATGTTACTGTGTGCAAATTGACTGTCTTGTTCATCTACAACACCCCCCATCCACACTGTACTTTACAATATATCCTGTGAAGCACTTTGAGGCATGGAAGGTGACCAAAGGTCGAAAAGAAAGGTCTTCAGCCAAGACCTGAAAATAGGAAGAGAGGGGGTGAAGTGAAGAGAGTGAGGAAGGGAGTTCCAGAGCCTTGGGGCGTAGTGGCTGAAGGCACGGCTGCCAATGGTGGAGCGGAGAATTTGGGGGACAAGGACGAGGCCAGACCCGGTGGAGCGAAAGAAATGACATAAGATCTAACAAGATCTCAGCAGGTCACCAAGTTGTGAATCATCCATCAGTCATTAATTTATAAGTAACTGTATAGCTGATGTAGAGGCAGGACTCAGGGTGATTAATCACTAAATTAATTTAGGAAAAAAAGTTTGTTCTCATTAACAAAATGTACAGATAATTTACATAATTAGCGCAGCCTATTACACTTGGGTACTTGCTCTGTTAAGTGAGGAGTTTTATCAACAGGTAAAATAATCTCATCTCTGAGATATAAATTTCAAGTGGGCACTGTGCCTTCATTGTCCTGTTTCAGCTCTTATGTTACAAAAATGCATTTGTTTTGTGCCATAATTAATTATTAGATTAGATTAATCATTAATCATTAGAAATTACTGTGAATCTAACAAAGCATTTTCAGAATAAATTACTTCTAACTACTATAATATACTTTAATACCTTTACTTCTGTTAAGTGGAAAGTCGATCCTAAATTTAACATGATTGCACATAAGAGCTTCTCTTTTTGATAAGAGTGCTTTTCACATTGACTGGCATGAATGAGTTGAGAGATCTGGGATTGGACTTGAGCCAAAGTGCTATCAAATGTGCTGCGGATGCCTGCAGGGGACAAGACATATGTAGAAGTTCAAGACTACCTGTCAGGGCAAATAAATCCAAACCAATGTGGCCTAGTGTCAATTATAGTATGGAGAGCATGTCATTTCTAGCAGCCAGAGCTCAACACTGAAAATACCGTAATATATAAAGAATAATAATAATAATAATCATTACTATTATTATATATAAAGAAAAAGGAAAACTGGGTATCTAGACACTAAAGTGCATTTCTGTATGAATCATATCCATCCCTGCTTGCCCACAACTACTTAATCTGACATTCCAGTTTGGAATGAAAATGCTTCAGAAATAAACTGTGTGGCTTCTGATAGCACATTTGGCATCAAATTGCAATGAAGCAGCTCGGGCCTGTCAAAGTCTTAGCCACATACTTCTTAATTTCTGCTTGTCAGCAGAGTTCACAATTCTCTCAAGTGGCATCTGAACCTATCAACTATGGAAAGGTCAAATTCTGCAAGAGGTAAAATTCTCAGAGGGTGAAAAACATGCGAAAGACTCATTTCTACTTCTGTGTTTGAGCTGATATTTTAACAGCACTTCTTCCACTTTCACCTTTTGAGCAGAAGGTTTTGGGTTCAGGCCACATTGGGACATTGAACTCACTTGGCCTAGACTGACCCTTCAATGCAGTTTTGGGGCCAAATTGCATCGTTGGGAGGTACTGTCCTTTGGATGACAAATTAAACTGATGTCCTGTATGGACAAAGTTGATGGTTGCCCTTTTATTGTAGGGATCACCTGAGCAACATCTGACCTTCATAATGTCTTTGAGGACAATCATCCTCATTATCTTTGATTCCCCACAGCTAAAAGCTATGAAATTATGCCAGAACCTACAATTCTGTGGAAGATGCCTGGGATAAAAGATCCCAGTATTTAATTGCTGTCAGACTATCTACATTGTCTTCTGATATTACTCTGATAGAATTGGCAAGCACTGTTTAAGTTATTTCCATTGGCGTATTTCTTTTCATCACTATCTCTTGACAAGTCAACATTGGCACATAGGACAAGAACACTACACCTTCTCTCAAACACAAATTATTTATCATGAAAGTACATTGGGT